TACAGACATCTGAAGTTAAAATTGACCCTTAAATTACTGCAAACAATTTCAATTTTGCCCTTGTCATTAGTAAACAGTTCTTTCACAGCTAGATCAGTTACATCTTTGCTTTTCAAAATTCCTTTCAAAGTAACCTTACCAGAGGACATTCCAATAATAAAGCATCCTCTATTTTTTCTGATTTAGAACATGGTGGCATTTGATAAAGTATTCTTGGCTCTCCTGCAATGCTGAAAAAAAAGATTACAAATGATCAGTCTATTTTATAAATTACCTTCTGTCAACAGGTCATTTTGTGGATTGTTATAAATCATTACCTCTTCCTCAGGCAGGGAGCAATCTCAACTGTCCAGCATGCCGGACTATTCTTATTTTGCTAAGGGTCACTTTACATTACCCTCAGACTACTGCGCAAGATTACTGTAAGATGCTGTTAAAAAGCTCACCTTTCCTTGGGAGAAACATTTAAAAAGATTTAACAGTAATGCTTTTTAGTAAACTGTATTTTTCATTTTTTTAAGTATATTAAAATTTACTCAGAAGCTAAAGAAAATCACAAACCCACCTCACTTACTACTCTTACACTTTTTCAGCTCTGCCTACTTTAAAGTAAACACATAGCTGCCTATACATATATTTTAAAAAATGAAAACACTTTACAATGTACAATCTTCTCTTTACAGAGGACAGAAGTTAAAGTAGGGCTGCCCTACTTGTGGCTTGTGAGGAGTTAAACCTTAGGCTCTCACCTAGCCATCACTCCCTGCGTTGCTCTGGCTGCTGCTTCCTGCCTTTGCCCCCCGGGGACAAGGCAGTGTGGTGCAATGTGGGAAACTGAGGGTGAGTCCAGGTTGTGCAGGGTGGGGGGAATCATGCCCTTGTCTAGCAGCAGCAAGGGGTGGGGGTGATAGGGATGCCCAGTACGGTGGTGAGGGGGTACAGCACTGCAACACTGGAGAGGTGCCAGTGCAGTACGGGGAAAGCATCCATGAAGCCCAGTGGCCTGTGGCTTGCCTGATGTGACCCATGCAGTGTCCAGCTCCTGTTGGTGTGGACCTGGGTACTTAGAAGTTGGACAGCCCTGAGATAAATAATGGACCACACATGGCCCATATTCTTCATGTTGTTTAATGCAGTACTGGTGGATGGTCAGATGCTGCAGTGATAAGCAGTAGAATCATAGGAAATTAGGGCTAGAAGGGACCTCAGGAAGTCCATCTAGTCCAACCCCTGCTCAAAGCAGGACCATCCCAAACTATATCATCCCAGCCAAGGTCCAGCCCAGTCTTAAAAACATCCACAGATGAAGATGCCACAACCTCTCTGGGTAACGTGTTCCAGTGCTTTACCACACTCCTAGTGAGAAAGTTTTTCCTATCTAACCTAAACTTCCCTTGCTGCATCTTGAAACCATTGCTCCTGTTATCTGCCACCACTGAGAACACTCTAGCTCCATCATCTTTGTTGTTGAAGGCTGCTTTAAATCCCCACCTCAGTCTTCTCAGTGTGACTGAAGTCCCCCATAAGAACCAGGGCCTCCCACTAGCTGAAGAAGAAACTACAGATGCTAGAACACTGGTTTGTAACAAGTTACTGGACCAAATTCTGTCAGATGTATTTGTGTAAACCTAAAGTAACTTCTTAATTATATTGTGTAGCTGACAAAATCATTAGGCCCACAAAATACTATTGTGTACTGCATCACAGCATTGCATTATACATCCTATTGGTGCAAGAAACCATTTAGAATCAAAGTCTTCTCACCTGTGCTACTTATGACAGTGCTGAGAAGTCCTTTATAGTTTAAGAGCTATACAGTTTAGCAGTATAAGCCTCTTAAATGTGTTTCCATTTTTGTCCTCTTCTTTGGGCCGTATTTGTAGAGCATTTGTACCATATTCATTTATATGGTTGCTCAATAATAATTCAGCTTTTTGTTATAAACTGATCCGATTGATCGATTTGCATGGGGTACTTTTCAGTGAAATTATAGCACTGTGTTGCCATTTACACAATGGAAACCACATGTTAAAAAGGGACTGGATTCAACAAAGTAATGAATACCCTCAATCCCCTTTAAATTATGAAATAAGGCAGGGCAAGGACATCTTGGAGCAGAGTTGTCCAACTCATCCAACCTCACAGGCTGGATTAACATCCTTGAGCCAGTCTGCAGGCCAGACTGGGACTAGCTCTTTGTAGAGTGGCCACAGCATTGGGTCTAGCTTGCATATCACATGCATCAGTCCCTGGGGCCTGAACAGGGCTAATGCTGCTCTTGTGCACTGGTTCCGGGGCCAGCAGGCCACTGCATGGAGTGTATGCCCTGTGCCAGCCCCTTGTGCCACATGCTGTGCATGCAGGCAGCTCAGTCCTGCACACACGTGCCAGCCATGGGGCTCACTGTAGTGCAACCTCTAGGGTCAGCAGGGGGTGTGTGTTGCAGGCATTGCATGGGCTGAACCCATCACTGCACACAGCACGGAGGTCCGGGGCACAAGTTGCTTGGGTCCAACCCATACACCACATGCAGTGTGCAGGGCTAGGGCCAATGCACAGGGTAGGTCCAGCAACCTGCACACTGCATTAAATGACACCATGGGCCAGATCCAGTCTTCAGGCCATTATGTTTGACACCCCTACCTTAGAGGCTAACTAAGAAGCATATAAGATTTCGTAGGTAACAGCCTACTTCATTAGATGCTACAAAGTCTGAAGGGTGCTCAAAATTTTGTAAGATTGAGAGTAGATTACTGCTCACAGGACCAGTGTTTCCCTTGCCAAAGAACAAGGTCCATAAGTCATCACAGAATACCAGAGCATTAGGAGATAAAAAAATGAGCATCTAATCATGCAAACACTGATGTATGTATTTTACCTTTGCTTAGATGAGTAATCCAATGGGAGTACTTGCATGAGCAAAGTTATGTACATGTCTAAAAGCTTGAAAGATCAGAGCTTTAGTGATAAAATGTAAAGTAATGGAAATTTTCCATCATATTACCTACTGACACAGCACCGATAATTGTCAAAATAGATTCTTCCACTTTCATAAGTAATAGGAGATGTGGAATGACTTGTCCAAACTTTCCTGAATTTAGTACTTTCCTGTAACAGAAAATAAATAGAAGGTTGTTATAACAAGCTGCAGTTCTGGAAAATATTTCATTTGCTTCTGCAAATTAATGACCGACTTTTGCAGGATTCATGGTTGTGAACACATAAAGGATTTTTATCCAAATAAAAAGGTCTGCAGAATTGTTTTTAATAATTCTATAACCATGTACTGGGTATATCCAATTGTGGGTAGAAGAAACATTAAAATAAGGCAAGCATATTTTTTAAATAATAAAAATTGAAAAATAACTGAAAAAATTGGTGTTGGAGGAAAAGGCAGTAAAACTGATGAATGGACCTTTGCAAGTAAACTAGGGATAAAACTGAATGAAAGGAGATCCTTTTCCAGTTTATGGACAGCACATAAAATACATTTTTAATCACTAACTTAAAATTGGCTACAAAAGTTTAACCTTTCACACTGGAAAATGATAGGCCCAGATCTTACCACTGTGCAAGAATACCTTTATGTATGTAATTCCATGAGGTTTCTCAACATCCTCCTCCCCATGAGCTGGGGAAGGCAAAGGGAGTTTGTAAACTTGTTTACATAAGGATCCCAAAATGTTAATGAGTTCAGTGACTAATCACATGTATAAAATTAGGCATGTGCAGGACCTTTACCTGTAGCATTAACAAAGGCTTGGATCCTACAGTAAAAAGTGTGCAGGCCAGTGGTTCTCAACCACTTAACACTCAAGGCACATCTTGTTCAACTGAAGAAACCCCTCAAAAAATTCCAGCTTTTAGCTTTCCCTCATTTTTTGACTACAAAAAAAATAACAGAGCAGTTCTTTTCTTGCAAAAAATCTTTTTGACCCTATGTGTTCCTATTTGAAATATCAAGGTTTATGTTGTGAATTTTGGGTATGTGTTGGCATATCTAGTATTGTACAACACCCTTAAAAGGAAGTCAAGGCACCCCAGTGCCATGGTACCCTGGATGAAAAAGCAGGGCCCAGGCAGATGACAAACAGACAGAGTCCTGTTCACTTCAGCATGCCTCTCTGTGGGTGCAGGTATGCAGACACCTCCATAGAGATCTTGGCTGTATGAATGGGGCCTAGCCCCTTCTAGCTTGCTAAAAGTAAAGGGTTTTATTAAATGTCTGTGTTCATCCCAGTCAGGGCATGGATGATCATTTCAGTTTCCTACCAGGGTAGTGTTCGGCTTCCAGCCACAGGACGTGTTTGTGTTTACTAAAAAAAACAAACATTGCCTTCCTTCACTGGGTAAAGAACTTGACTGAGTTTAGCGTGGGAGACCCAATGTGAAGAGAACAGCAATCCCTTAAAACACTGCCATCCGCGTCAACGCCAAACAGGACCAGACACCCGGATTAGGACATTGCAGGGAAAAGGTTTTCCAAGAGGCAGTGTTATTATTAGTTAGTCAAAAGCTTGGTGAGCAGGGAGCGCTGGGGGTGGGGTGGGAGCGCTCCCCGTGCGGTATCTTGCAGGGATGAAGGACTCCTCATCAGCCCAAGCTCCGGCTCCAGCCAGAATCCCAGCTCCTTGCCTGGCTGCCAGGCGGCGGGGAGCGTTACCTGGCACAGCAGCCTCCTGAGGATCCCTAGGTTTTTCCTGAGGGCGACCCCAGCGTCCTGAGCGTAAAACCCAAGCGCCCGCCCGCTTAGGAGACGGCAGACATTGTGGGGGTCTCGCGCCCCGCGCCAGGGGGTG